TGTTTTTCCTAAACACTCTTAATACAGCGTTGCCATGTAACTTGAGTCCCTTTTTCGCAATCCATTAATCAGACTAGACCCCACCAATTCAGTAGCGCTATTGTGGATAACCCCATTTTTACCGCAGTTACAGATTGTCTCCTGTCGATAAAGTGCAGCTGTCCAGCTCAACTTCGTTTGGAAATTATCTAAACACAAAACATTCTCTATTGAATGGGTAAATATCCACCATGGTTTTGCGTGGTAAGCAAAAGGTTCACCATTATGGGATTCTTAAGGTTTGGGATAACCAGCAGCGATTGAAACACAGGTCAGTTTACTGCAGAACGTTCACAGACATCGCATCCTAAGTGTAAACCCTCAAACCTTATCTCACAGATCTAGAAGAACATTATTTTCATTTAAAACAAAATAATTGAGCCTCACCGACCCCAAAATAAAACTTCTTGCAGCCGCATACTTAGTCATCTGACCTAGTACATCAGGTTTCCCATTTCACATACAGTTCTGTTCTTGGTAGATGTCGTTGGTACCACCCCCTTGTTTAGTAACAAATTCTCAAATTAACGATTAAGCGTTTGGTTGTATCCCCTAAAATCAAGGGTGGCTCACGAATCCGAACACAGGTACTCTGCTCAGAAATAGTAGATATACTTTCCTCCTAAAATCACTTCCTGATGTCTATTATGGAATTTCTACACTCTTATGTTTAATGTGAATTTGGATGGAATTTAGTATAAATGTTCTGCCCTACATTGAATATTCTGAGTACACGGTGCAGCTGCTTTAATGAACCTTGCTGTGTTACGAAATTGATTTGAAAATGAATCAGTCCACATGGAAAATGTATGAGTAAATTGTTCCAGGTAGCCAGTGCAATTCAACATCAATTATCATCTTATGCATAGTTGTGCGTCTTTCCCGCACTCACGGGTCTGCTGTAAGATCCTCGTGAGAATGAGGATAAATCCAACCATAAAACCTGGGATTATAGTCTAGTGATAACATCGGAATGTTTCCGAGAACATATTTTGAGTCGATGACACTGGGATTGCGATAATATTTTGCGCTGCATACCAAGAGATCCTTAGCACGTACTGTATGCAACGGAGTTTGTTTAGGGCGAACCCAGCCTAATTGAATATTTGCTAGACCTTTACTTTTCTACAGTGAACAACAGCCATATGATTAATTAAAGTGTGCCTCCGAAGGATGGAGAATTTACGCTACTCGCATTAATTAGCTCAGGGTCAGTCAGTATGTAACAATCATGTGTGGCCCATTAAGTTGTCTAAACTCCTACGCGGGTTTCGCACTTTCATCGCGAGATTTTGAGAAATGTCCTTGCCGAATGCGCCATGACATCCGAATTACTCTAACATGGGTCTGTTCGTTTGCAACGCAAAACCATGTCGAGATCTACGATTTATACGCGCAAAAATCACCTTTTTTCTCTGACTTACCACAAGAGAATTACAAATCCAATGGTCCCTGACTTGAAAGACCTAACTAGCTTAAGACTGCGCTGTTTCCTCATTTTATTTAACCGTGCACCATGGACGTTTTTATGGCATCTGACCCAGCGTCTTGTATAACGTAAAGTTTAGCAAACAAGTACAATAATAGAAGACACAAAGTTGTGTGACATTTAGAAAGAGCAGAATATACATAAGAGTTAATGAGTGCATGCCTTCTCCTAGTCGTTGATTATTTCCAAATATTTTTGAGATTGGAGGCAACTCCGAGGAGTGCCAATAATCTGCACCATGTTTTACCTTCCGTATCTCCAAGTATAACAGTGTGCAACCTATGGTTCGTCCAGTACAAATAATCTTCAGCGAACACGAGTGAAATAGGAATTTAGTCTTGCTACTCACAAATCAAAACAACTTGCTTGTCCGAAACAACTCCGCGAATAAACAAGCAGTGTAAGTTTTGCCGCAAGAACACTCAGTATGGTTCAACACCGCTAATTTGATGTTCTCAAAATGCTCTGTTTATCTTGTAAAGTGAAAACGGTCAAACAACAGCATTCAACCGCTTTCTGAATTTTTTCCATATCAGTATTCAAACCGCCAGGGAGAATGGCGATGTCCGCGTACGCAGTCGTATATTCTCCATAGAAGGCACACACGACATATTCATCGGTCTAGGTCGTTGAGACGTTTGCAGTAACAAGAATCTAACCTGACACTTGGGGTTACGGGCTTTCGTAGATTCATAATCGGATCGTTTGTAGTCAGTTGTTAATAAGAAACTTGTCACAGTAGAGTATTACTTTCTCGCTCGATGGAAGAATGACACTACCGGAATTGCAGCTAAATTTTGGGTGTTTCTGGCAGCACCGTACACAGAGCGTGACCAGATTAGTTGAAAATGTTTTGTCGATAATAAACGCTACCATGTGAAATAGACTGAAATTTTAATGTTTACTTGGGATTCTGGCTGGAATCGATGCCAAATCTGTAAATGCGCGACCCGATAGGATTCTAATATTGCTACGTCATGGGACAACCTGAGGAAAATTTAAAATACCCTCCTTTTGATGGTCTCTGCGTCAGCATGTTTTAGAGCAAATCAGTAGAACGTCGCAACTTCAAGCAACGTAGGGCGTTTTTACCCCACTTGAACTCGCATAACACGTAAACTAATCTGCCTTCAGCTCTCCAAAGAACGATGTGAAACAGTTCCTCCTGCAAACACAATGACTTTTTGTTTAGTGGGCCAATTTTGGTCGTGATGCTAAATACTGATGATGCTGGTAATTGTCAACCTGGTGGACGAGTAACTTGTTTAGTGTTTTGCTGCTTCAGATAGGTACGTTTTCCACAACAAACGATACAGAGCATGAAAGGCGAGATTCCTTTTGGCTTTTCCTTCTAGGATCAAATATAAGTAAATAACTGTATGTCTAGAATCAGGATGAATGTTCTGACCAGGGTGGAATTATGCACAGATAGCAACCAAGATCTAAGCTAATAAGTTTCTCACGTATTTGGATATTCAAGAAGATCGCTTGTTATAGACCGTCCGTCATTTGATCTCTAAAAAATACCGCTGGATTAATCTTAAGCGAAACTATGGATTCGATCTTTGCAGTCATTTTGTGAGCATCGGTAAGCAGGTATTTTGTATACGTTACTATCCTGGTAACTTTACGGGACGGACTTGTTACATCAATGAACCGGTTTTCGTAGGTTCTGTTTAACACTAATTCCAATATGCTTCTTTTCTTACTCGTGAAATTTAGGTAAAAAGAAATAAGTGTACGAATCCTGAAATGTTTTGTTTCATACTAAACTTGAGGGTATGAAAGCGTTTGATACGCTGCGAAAAGCAAGGGTACCAAATTACCAAACATAGTAAATTTAATCGTATGCTACTAAATATGATTGGAAGATTGGCTTGATACGACTGTTATTCGTATTATTGTCTTTGATAAGGCGTTTCGAGCGTTCAACCAAACAGCGCTAGTACATTGTGCACAAGGCAGCACAACTTATTATAATAAAACATCTCAGTATATGACAACTGACTTAAAAGCGAAAGGAAACTGGCTGACTGCATCTTGGGTAAAATATCTGAAGGTAAAGCGCAGATGCACATAATTTCCATGGTTGCCTCCCTACTAATTGAACTTCTTATTTGTTATCCATACACGTAACATTTGACCCTTATACCCAACCACCCCTGAAAATTTGCATGCCATCCAGTCCCAATATTAATGATAAACGCATGGGTCATTGTCAACCATGGTGTCAATTCATTACCATATAATGAGTGAGTGGCTAGACATTTTATTTGCAACGTTCGTAACCGCATTCTGTTCTGATTAGATGGCCTGAGTTGCATTTTTTGGCAAGTTTTCAAGCTGTTTTATCTGGGCCATCATCGCTGGGCTAAACGTGTTTTTGGCTTTAGAACGGAAAATGGTTTTAGCGTCCACCGGCTGCAATGTATGCTTCGATGCTGATTTTATGTTTAGTCTGACTACCTAAAATTTTGACCGGCTTTAGTTTCTACCCTAATGAATGAGGTTAGAATATGACCCGGGCCCTCTTAAAAAGACGCCCGTTACTTCTCCGATGTAGGTAAGCACAACCACAGATCGAAGAATAGATGCCTTAGAGTTTTCTGAGCTTACTCGTGAGTATTTTCGGGTTAATTATTCCACAATGTAATGCGCGACGTCTGCAAACTGCCACGTACCAAGGTCATTTATCATGGCGTTTTGAGTATCGTTGGTAGAGTGAATCGTTCGACCGTAAGTGGAAGTCTGCATACAAGGTGACTGATATAAATGTAAGATTTACTTGCAAGTCGAAAAGAAAAACCTAAATAATGGGCCGGATAGCCATCATCCTGTTCCTTTTGATGGGTAGGCTGCTCTTTATAGATCCACCTTTGCATATTTCATTTTTCGCCCAACTAAATATTCCTCTGTTGTCTTTTCAAATTAGGTCCAATTGCGCTGGTAAGAGCTAGCACCCTGTACGCAAAATGCAAAAGTACGTGCAAATTTGATCGTTTCGTTCGAGTGTCAAACCACAGAAACAGTTGCGCCCTGAAACCACTTTATTTTTGCACCCAGTAAAATGTCTGACCTATTGAACTGACTGCATTTATATTCAAATTTCCTCATGTGCTTTTTCGTTGGGTACCTACAACTCCTCTAGCCATCTAAGTTGCCGATATCTGCGGATAATTGTTACGTGCATCACATGTATACCCCAGAAGATACTGCAACTAGAAAAGTCAAACGCCCGTGTGCACTAAAAGCAACAGGCTTTTATGCTGATATTACAAACGTTGAAGTAACTAAAAATATATGTTACTGGAAAATATCTCCATGCCTACGTTTGTTAATTGTCCAGCCAAAAGCTCCACAAATGTTTCGTGCAAGATTGTAGATTGTTTGTATTGCAGTGCCCCTATATGCTGAATTACAAACGTTGAAGTAACTAAAAATATATGTTACTGGAAAATATCTCCATGCCTACGTTTGTTAATTGTCCAGCCAAAAGCTCCACAAATGTTTCGTGCAAGATTGTAGATTGTTTGTATTGCAGTGCCCCGGCCTGTACCGCTTCACCCTTGCTATAACCTAATTTAGAAGAGTGCGAGGATAATGCCGGTGATGTGGAGGAAGATGGTATGTTCAGATTTATTTGCTGAGTTTTAGAAATTCGATATTTTGTTGTTAGTCCACTTCTCCTTTAGTTATCTGCAAAAGCATCTCCAAAATGCTTTCGTACAACACACGACAAGCTGGATTAGGATGTTTTTCTGTATTATCTTATCCGCACCCGGTGAACGAAGCGAGTTAACGCAAAAGCTAGAGGGGTGCAATGAAACCAACAAAATGTTACGATTTTCACATTTATATTTTCTGCGTCGCTGCAGTCTGGTGGTCTTATCAGATGATGCCTAGGTATATTCAACAAATCTATCCAGAGTAGACTGGGCATTGTTACGTGAGCTACTGAAAGTGCACCGGATCCTTGTCATAACGCTTTAGCGTAAGCGCGACAGCTACTTGTCCGGTACATCTGATTGCAATGTTGAAAAATCAAAATCCGAGAGAAAGTCATTGAATAAATTGGGCAGACAAACGTCTGACGTGCAAAACGTTTGAAAATTGAGTCCATAGCCAGAAATATACACGCCTAAATATTCGATGTTTTGCCAGAAGATTGTTTTCCTAATTGATAATTAAATTTCAGAGTTTCCAGAGAAACTACCAGTAAATAAGGTGCACTGCATATAATGCACTCTTTACTATTTCGTTTTCGACAGCAATATTGTGCAATAAAAGATGTTAAGGCTTTCAGTAAATTCTCGGGCATCCTGCTATCACAGTACCAAGTAGTTATGATCAATAGATAGATATGTGCAATAGAGAGGTACTTGGATTTTTCGGTTTTCGTTCCATAAGTTGCACGAGAACTTCATTATTGGTTTTCAACAAAATCTTGTTCAAACTGGAGCAAAATGTCCCAACTTTACCACGCAGTGTAAAACGTGAACGATAAGTCTGCTTAAATATACGGTAGAACAGCTGTCCCATTTTGGCTAGAATCATAGTGTATACTGGTTTGCAGCAATATTGATCGAAGTGTTTAAAAAGGGCTTGGGTAAATGTGAAAAGTTATTTGGTTGGCTAGGAAGAATTATTAATAATAATTATTATTAATAATATATATATGCTTCCTACAGGGATATCAAGAGGGCTGTTGAATCTTTGCCTGGGTAAGCCTTGTCAAGATCGGATTGTTTCTTAAGTTTTAAATTAAATTTACACCTTGTACTTCAGCGGCTTTTTTCCTAATACACTTGAAAGTTAAATGTTTGCTTCAGTGTTTCCCGCTTTATATCGTGTTTTATATTGAAATTTATAGCACTAGGTGGTAAACAAAAGTACCAAAATGTTAGTAATTTTGTAGTGAAAAATTCCTTGTTCACATGTTGAACTGAAGAAACATAATCTGGATAATCAAACTGCTCGACATATCAATGTCTTTTTGCGGCTCCGTATAGATCTACCTCTGGAACTCCCAAAACCCAATTTAAACTATAAGAATGTTTTTCAATTGTTTCTAAGAGAGCTTCCCTCCAAATCATCCGAATAAAAAATTTATGAGATCTTAATTAGCATTACTTTAACAATATATTGATGTTAACTCCTATGCCAATCACAGGAAGGTGCACAAACGAAGATTACTTTGGCTGCAGAGGTAAGAAACATTGTTTTCATCCTAGAAAACCTGATAAATACACGCGCGAGCCTCTTTATACATGTGAATAATGTGGAAATGTGTTATTTTCCCAAATTTAAACAGCTCGTAACATATGTCAGGGTTTCAGTTGGCGAGAAACTCTCGGCGACTGATGACTATTATTATTTCAACTAGAAAAGCGTCAGCTAATTTGATTACACAAAGAGAAAAAGTTAAATAACAAAAGTAATCTCAAACAACCGATGCATACGAATCCTAGCCTGTTATCTTTCTACATTGGCATGAATCGTTTCACTAGAAACTAAAATAGTGAATCTTTTACACTTCGACAGCCGGCTCGAATATGACACCCGTCAAAAGTTATTTGCTCAACAGACGAAATTCGTTGAAATGATTGCATGTCCGTAATTAGTTTCTCAAATTAATTAGCGGCGTTTTTTCGCCAATTTTCCTATGGGGCTCAGGCAGGGTAAAGATGCGCATCTCATTAGCAGTAATTAAATATTCCAGAAGTGATGTGCACGAAATCCACTGGCATTGTGGTAAGCTGACTGGCTGACCGAAATTTTTCCCCAAAAAACATTCCAGATACCATCGTTATGTCAGCTACAACTTTTTCGTAGCTCCAAAATATACCTGGCGCAGATCTATTGCGTCACGCGAGAAAGACTCACGACTGGGAACATTCTTCTCTAATACAAACAGGTGTTTTTTCAAACAACACAACAACCGATCATTTGTGGCCTGAAAAAAATAAGCCAACTAATGCAAACTCACTATAAGGCACAAATTAAAAAGCTTGTGGCAATTTACCGCTCACCAAGCACTTTAATGCCTCATACCAACGCTCTCGGAAGATGGGAGGCACGCTAAATTCAAAGACCAAATAGGGTGAATATTTCACTACATTAAAGTGCGATTGCGACAAAACAAATGAGTACTTTAATGGGCGCTCAGCTGTTATCGTTCCACTTTTGACCAAGCGTCATCAAATATTAGTCCGGTGACCAACATCATGAATTTTCTGACGTGCACCAAAGTTAAAAAATAAATTAAACACCACAAAGCCGCTTTCAAATTTGACGTCGCCCATAGCGTCATGCCGAAGGACATTTGATTCAAAACGTGAGTCATACTTACAATATTTTACTCGGACATTCCAACATTACTTTATGAGTGAACGTAGTTTCTCCATTTTTGTTTTCATATTATCTGTGTATAACAAGGGCTTTGGTAAAAACAGTATCCAAACTGACTAAAACAGGTAAAATTAAAAAGGTGCAAAGCGCGTCTAGGCAGCTTTTTTTGTCACTCTAGAAAAAAATAGGAGTGCATGGTCCACAATTTGAAGGTTGAGTTTTTAAGCTTGATAATCACCGCGACAGACCATAAGATTGACAAGAAAAACATCACCCACTGTTCAGCATGTTCCCGCAAAAATTACTATCGATCTAAAGTTCTCCGCTAATGGTTTCAGAGATAAACAGGTGCTTCAGAAAATCTGGCCTTTCATAAGAGACGAATGCCTCAACCTAGTTATTTTCCTCACATACTCCAAGTTTTGAAACTTTGTTCTAGGTAATTTTTCGGATGTCAAAATTAGAGCAGAAGAGTGCTTGTCTAATTGTGTTAATCAATGAAACAAACACAATAGTTCAAGTAAAGCATCTACAAAAAAAACAATGCTAGGTGTCTCAGTAAAAGTCATTTTATTCACTCTGTATGTAATCTTTGCAATTATCGCAGATTTTTACATGCGTTCATACCCTGACCTATAGCACTACTTTGTGTATATTCGGGAAGATTCATTAGTGAATGTGACATTCAATGCGCATGAATGCGAGATAGGTGAGGGCAACTGAAATGGAAGCCGCATTCTGTCTAGCACATCCGGTAATGGGCACCAAAGAAAACGCTCTGATAGGTTGTATGAACAGGACTAGAGCAACGTTTCTGTTAAGCACACTGATTGTTCAAGGAAAGTGTTAAGCCTAATCTCCCAAGATCTCTTGAGCGCACATTGCATTCCGGCATATTTCTGCTCTGAAACCTGGAATAATGCAAAAACGCTTCCTCTGTTTTCCAAAAACTTGGCAAAATAACTCTTGGTAACAGCTAAAAATAAATGTTGGATCGCGGTTTTTGCTCGGTTAACGGTACCAGACTTCCTTTCTGCTCCCAAATGATTCTGAAATGCAACAGTGCCACCTCTCAGAGAAATAACAGATTTGTCCTTTGTCAGCGTAAAGTATTCTTTTTATTAATCTACACTTATCAACTCGCAAGCGGCAGAACGGAAGCCCTGTTTCAGTGAGTTCGATACACCTAAAAAGAGTTGCTTTTTGTAACATACGGGTATCACGTTATGTTTCGACAATGCGTTACTCAATTTTTGTCAGGTGCCTTGCCTTCGATTACACACATGAACCCTGACCCGGGTTGAATGTGATTGACGAATTCTGGAAATTTATTTGTTGGTTTCCGCACAAATTGGGCTGAGATAACGTTCGATATCGAATCGGGGGACTTGTAAAGCAATATTTTTTAATACACATCTCTCATTTTCGCAGGGTAAATAATTTTAAAATAAGCCGGGCGGGGTATTTTGTTATTCCATTAACTGGAAAGTAGTATCAGTCAGGGGCTAGAAGTTATTTAACGACGCAAGTTGCAATAATGTTGGATGAATTATCAAATAATATAAGCAGAAAATAACATCAGCAGACAGCGTATAAAAATACTGAAGCAATTGCGAGAACCTTGTATGCTTGTTAATTGGCAAGCACAAAGCACATACCGAAGAAAAGAGAAAGGGAGTTCTAAATTTAACTGCTACAGAAGTTTAAAAAAGTAGACCAAACGTCACAAACACAGGTTTTTGACTTCAGTTCAATATGCATAACAAAATGATGCGTAAATTCCTAATTTTAGATAGACAGTTTAAGGGGTTTCCTCGCAGATAAATTGCCTGTGCTATTTACATACAGTTATGGACAGCACTTTCAAAAAGTATTTGTTTCGACCGTTCTGTAAAAACCTGGCCTATCGTACAAATGAAAGCCGCGAATTCACCACATAAGACTGTAAAGATGGAACGATTTTAGTGTACGACATTGAAGAACAGAAGTCCACCGGCTAACTTATGTGGAATGTTGCACCAGACTCGATGATTTTCAAGCGCATTACTTTGTCAGCTAAGTGTAAACTCCGGCCGAGAAACTATGTGGACAGCACTCAAGTGGCCTCGCGTTTTTCATATATGTGGTCAAAATGTCGTTTTAAATATAAACGTAGGTCTACTTCTGTGAATAAGTATAAGCATATAAAAAATTGTTCGATATATTCTATGAACCTTTACCGCTTTCCCCAAAGCGGAAGATAACAGAAAGAAGACCGCTCTCCCGAATGCTTAGTTTGAAACACCCATGTGTAATAAACAAGAATAAAAGATTTGTCTTTTCGAGGCATATTGGTTGGGAACACATATCATATCCAAAGTAATTGAAGCAAACGAAAATGAGTTGTTGTGAAGAAAAATATTTTTGGCTTTTATTAGACGATTGAAGAATATAACGTAAATTAAAGTTTGTTCTGCTTCTATGTTTGGGACGTGACAAAGGTTATTCAGTCAATTGGACTGGATTATGTCACCCAGGAGCAGCATATATCAAGTGTGTTTCAATGAAAAACTATTTTATTCTAAAGTTTATGTAGTTTCTTACAAGTTGCATTATCCGCAGTGGTTTCGGCTCACAGCAGTGTGGTTGTGAAGGAATGTTGGATTGTATCCAGATACCAAAATTTTGCTAAACGTTAGCCAAATTATCCGTACCGTACTCAATGATGTGCCGACCAGTCTTACCGGTGAAATAATCCTGTTGATGCTTATTATTTAAAAAATGTTGCGAAAAATTTTAATGATTGCTCAAAAACTGGCTGACCTTATTCAGCTTTATTTTTTTTTAAAGGACGGTGTAAATCAATTGCAAGGAAACGCTGTCAAGGTCAGATTTTCACGTAGTTCTTCTTACGTATGGTGCACTACGTCCGCTCTAAATTCACCCCATTGGTCTTGTCGTTGTAGTTAGATATCACGTTAACAAATGACATAACTTAAGTTGAAACCGGTGTTTTGAATTTTCCGTGTGCGAAAATTTTCGCACCCGTAATCAAAACATTATGAGCTTGGTCAAAGGAATGAGCGGTCAGTTTGCATGCATACAATACATTGATCTTTGTTTAAACGCAAAATGTGAGACCCGGAATTCCGGTTATCCGGCCGTATTAAAAACATACATTTTTGGCACATATTGGATTATGCTGCCAAATAGCCTAGTGCTATTTTCACTATGCACAATGTATTAGATGCAAAATTATAGGTGACATCACGAGAAATTTGTTTTCCTATTTTACGGTAATGTGAAAGGTTTTTCCAAGTGAAAAAATATTTTGGTCTCCGTTTTACGGTTTAGTGCGTGCTTGAATTTAAACAAACCGGATCTACAGTTTCTCGAACAACATCAATTTATCGGGTCGCGCAGCTTATACAGAATTTAATTTCTACAGAAACTTCACAGCTCTACTCCCAAAAGTGTGCATATTTAGATAAAAACCATCAACCTGCTTGTGAGAGGAATGCAGGTTGCGTGGCTGCCTTTGTTCGTGAACTCTCTAGAAAATTGTGATATTTTCATGCAGCCAATTTTCATTGGCCTGTGTGTTTTCTGTTGTGGGAAACCAGCTTGGTCAACTTTGCACAGCACTTGCGTCTATGTAACAGTGTCGTATAATGAGACGTTCGACATTTTGCCCATTTATTACTGTGATTCTCTCCGCAATTTCTTACTACAGAAGATTGCAGATATGGTGGTCCCCTTTGTCTAGGTTAGCCGCTTTGTATACTTGATAAAGAATGCCTGAACAGAAGATTCAGATATGGTGGTCCCCTTTGTCTAGGTTAGCCGCTTTGTATACTTGATAAAGAATGCCTGAATATTTGTGTGAGTGATCATGATGCTTTTAACTTTATGCGTTTCTAATGACTGTTGTAGGAATAAAACCCACGCGCAATTGTGGCAGAGATTAGTGGATTCTGCACTCTAGTACAAAATATCAATGTTGCCATCAGCGAAGGCGTGAGGTTTTATCCTTTTTGAACAAAGGCATCAAGAAATCCACATGAGTGTTCATATAGCCGGTGCTAAAGGAATAATTAAATTTCCTTTAGACAACACTTGAGATTGTATCACACTTCATGAGAAGCAAGCAGCAAACAAAACCCTCTCTTTTATTGCAACATTAGGTATCACACCCTATGCTTTGTACTCATAACATGAACTAGAATTTCATAATGAGAGCCGGTTATAAAGTTGCTCTTGTGAATGTCAAGAGGAGAGGATAAATATACAAACAAGGCAGGAACGAGCTATTGCTCTTCCAATAACTAGTCGTCAGACTTTTTCACCATAAGTGGAATTTAAATTTAAGATTATCCACAATCATTCTTAACATCCTGGAGCTGTCTAAAATGACAGCGTGGTTCATATGCACGTCACAAGGCCAAATCAGTTCATATTAATGAAATGCTTCGGTGCTTGTCTTCTGCCGTAGATGGATGCGTCACCCTATACGGTAACCAACATTTGGACGTTGGAGTCCGCAACCTGTAATTTTGTTTGGATTTTGCTATGATATTACACTACCCAGAATATGACACTACACTGAGTAAACACAAAACCGAATGCGTAGAAGACACTGAAGGACAATTGGACGCATCCCATATCACAAAGCGTTTACATTCTCGACTACAGTGACAAGCAGAGTCGTATTAAAGCGTCCCTAAAAGTGTATTTCAACAAAACTCTCAATCTTGCAAGTGTTTTATATACCACTAGTAAGATTTCGTTTAGCAGCGAAAAAAATTCAGAACTGAATAATTTTCACTGATTTGGTTATTTTATTTTTGTTTGTACTAATCCATATTAAATTGTCTCTGCCAACAGGTTATGGATAATCACTTCCGTCCAACCGGTTAGGGAAAATCTTTCGACGTTGCTATAATATCCATTTACAAGCGAGCAAAAAGTTTTCGGAATTGAATTACATTTTACCATAGCGATGTTCTTTAACAGCCTTAAACCCTGGCCTGCTAAAATTCAGCCTGTTCAAAAAAACAAAATCAGTCCGGGAGCAGAGGTGTGGATGAATTTACTTGTACTTATGAGAACATGAAAAAAATTTGTCTGAAAGCAAAATAGCATCCATTTACAGCAATACAGTTGGTGCACAAAGTAATATGTCACACTCAGAATGCACAGAAGTAAAGATACCAGCTAACCTACCAACAATAAAAATCAAAAAACTCTGAATACACAAGATTAGTAAGATCTGTGATGTAAGACTCTGAATAGCTTTATGTGAGAATTAAGTTTCGGACGTATATTGTAATAACCAGGCGAACTAGAAATCCAGAAAATTCAGAGCAGCGCAACAAGTAGCATCTATGTATTCAAATTGGCGTATATGTACAGTACATGGAGTATTAAAACAAGAGAACAATGAATAGAGCAATGAACAGAGTATCAGTCATGTTCATCACACTTTATCTAATTATTGAATAAGCCAAGTTTATGATTAGAAGGTGTCTACTTACAGCAAAGATAACATATCTCTGGCAAACAGTGGTAAAACCATAAAAACGCGTTTTGGTTTTCTTCTACGCAATACGCCACTGCAGTCAGTAAAGCAAGATTACTTACTCGAATGGTGGCACCGATTATTTTAAGAGTGAAAATCGAGGCGTTGTTACTGAAAATTTGATTACGCTGCGGAAACATCGTATGAAAAAAATTAAACTTTAACCACAACAAGGACAAGCTGATCAACGTATCTTACAACAGTGTAGCTCCAAATCACATGAAAGCTGCGGTCAAGGCTATCCGTGAGATATCATCGTTCCTCAGGAACACTATACCATAGGACGTACCTCACGGGCTGAAGCGAGTTGCACGACGTATCAACTCTTTTACTAAGTACAACTTTAAGATTCTTCCGATGCCTAACAAAAGATTTATCGGCACGTCCTGCTTTGAACAATATATTAATACAGCTTTGGATATTTCATAAAATGTTCTTCAATTAAACGTTGGAAATTTCTCAGTTGGTGTTCCTTGCATGGAATAAACTTTGAGTCAGCGAAAAACCAATGGACTTCGTGCATCACTCCACATTCAATGTTGTGTGTGCTATTGAGGAGACTAGCTTCCATTTGGTGTGCCTGTCATCTAATGTGTTCCAAAAGGATTGAGTCGCCCTTGGACGCTCTGGATTTGGTTGCTAGTGTCTCAAAAATTATATTCCAACGGTTGAACGTCTGATGTTGGCTCCGAGCAAAGTGTTGTGTTTGCGCCGTCAATAACAATGATACAAGGCTTCTGTCAATGTGGCAATTTATTCCGGTTTTAAAATAGATAAACCAGTATTCCGTCAACCAGGGTGAAACCGTTTGCCGGACCTGGATACAATCGCTTCAGCAATTAGTTAACGAAGTCAACTTGCACCGGGTTATCTCAGAAGAGGCCATAGTGGCAACACCATTCCATCTTGCGTGGATAAGCTGGTAGTATCTCCAGGCCCACTGTTGTATTTCAAGCAGACCAAATATTACCGTTCTGTCACCCGTAATTCATAGCACAGCAACAAAATTATCACAACGCGATACCTATAGGCGTACACCGAAAGTGATATTTTATTAATTTTCCGACTTACAGGCCAGTCTAAAAATCACCGGTGATGGGCGAAGCCTTCATGCCTTTGGATTGGTCACAGGTGCGCAAACGCATCGTGGTGCAACACAACATGATGGCCCTCTCGGCAGGGCGCACACGACTACCACATAAAGGTTTAAGCCCTGATGTTGGAAAAACATTTGCAAGGTTGTGGGCCATCTAGAATTACGGTGATCCTCTATAGAATTTTCAAATTACACGCCGGGCCTCAATACCTGAGTATTCGAATGCTTTGACCCAGCAAATATGATACGGTATGTTGCTCCAGCTGACACTTAAAACGTTGTATAATTGATGTGATTCTAACAAAACACTCATCATCAACCATTATCAAAATATACCCGTGGAGAATTCCACACGTTTGTGAATCAGAGTTGGACAATTAACCGTTTGAGGGATGCGCGGCTGCCTTGGAGGAAACATTTTGTTGTAATGTACACTACAAGAAAGCTGTAAACCACGACTAATTCGATTGAGTGCCAACACAAACTTGCAAATGTAAAGAAAGACATTAGAATCTGGATAACTTCACGGATTCCAAAATAATCACAGGTCCCTTCTCCGAAAATAATCTGGGTAAATGGGTATAACGCAACAAAAATAATAACAACAAAATGTAGCTCTTAGAATGTCAAAACCTTCCATGAATCCACCAAATTAATTCAACTCTAATAAGTTGTAGATCATAAGGGGTCACTCGCTGACCGCAAGCGAAGATTATTTCTAACTGTGCAGATCAGCATCGTGAGGCACGATGCACTTCAAAAAACATCAGGGTCATAGTGCATCTTGCAACCAGGAAAAATTGTAGCATTTTCAAAATTCTACATCTGCATATTCCGATCATTACTTTTTTATTTAGGTATTCGCAAACATAACCTTATTTACACAGGGTCGCTAACGCCTTCCTACCTAGACCCACGTTTCTACGCCAACGTGGGATTACGTGAAACACCTTAACCTTTCATGTAACCTACATTTTATCACTCATATGACCTGATAATGCTATCCGTTCACTGAATCAGTAAATGGTTCAGAGCTACTGAAGAGAACGTTGCTCCCAAAGTGGGCCTTGTCATTTTTGGTCTCGAAAGTTACACGGAGAGGTAAGTCTTATGTCAGAGCCACTAAAGTAATTCACTTCAAGGCCACTGAAGATCACGTCGAAAAATTGATGGATTCACTGATTAACGGTTTGATGCACAGGATCGAGGCTTGTGCCCAAGTTCCCCTGGTTTCCCCTCGGTTTCGTTCTTGTCGTTTAGCGGAGGTCGTTCGCCTGAGAGACACGAGTGGAAAAAGGGTGTAGCATTGCCCCTTTTGTCCTCAGCGCGGGGCAGTATGCTTGCGAGCGCGAGTATTCGCATAAATAAATGTCTAGTAGTGCCTCAAACAGGTTTCTAGGAGCAGCGTGAAAAACACTCGGATAAAGCTCATTCCACGAAGCTACTGTCCGAAATGAGGCAATTTTTTCCTGATGAATAGGGGTGCTCTGAGCTCAAAAATCTTTCTAATATATCCCCACCGTGTGCTTCCTGGGTCAACAATGAAAAATCTGCTTGCCAAGCTTTGTTCAAACAGTACATAGGTAAGAACTAGGTTCCCTTTAGGCGAGGATACTTCAAGGGAGAGAGATCAAGCATCCGCAGACGGGTTTCGTAGTAAATGGATTTGAGGCCAACAGCCATTATCTTAGCGGCTCGCTGTACACGTGTAATGAGGGTGAGGTTTATCGTGGGTCCCAAGTAGACCACTTAAATGGCTTATTCCAGGAGTGGTCTGACGTAGGACCCGTAGAGTATTTGGAGGTCCATGCGAGTAATACTGGAGAAGGTGCGTCGGATCATCCGTAAAATGGCAAATGCCTTTTGGGCCGATTTCTCGTGATGCAGTCAGAAGGACAAGTTTGAGGAGACCCAGCTGCCCAAATCATTTTGGGCATCTATCCTCGTGATGTTTTCTGGTCCTTTCTCACCATGGATGACAAAGACATTCGATGAGTCTCCTCCGAACAACATATGGACGCGCTTTTTGTCATTCAGAGGAAGGTGCCTGTCCACCGACCACTCCTTGGCATCTAAATCAATCTGGAGGGCAATGGCATTGGAACTCCAGGATTTCAAGTCGTCCACAAAAATCAGACACGGACTTATATGATTATCTGGAAGTTCGTTGACGTAGATCAGAAACAGCACTGGCCCCGGACGGAGCCTTAGTGAACTCCCAGGTCCAGCCTATTGTCACTCGGAATGACCTGCCTGATAGGAACGCCTCTATCCAATGAAGTATTTTCCCTTCAATTCAATAACACTCGAGTTTGTGGAGCAGCGTGACCTGTGGGATCCTATCAGATGCTTTTGAGAAGTCGAAAAACATGGCATCCGATATGAGTCCTTCGTCCTTGGCTTGGGTGAAGATGTCCAATAACACGAGCATGTTTATTACGCTAGGACGGTTTGGGAGAAATCCGTGTTGATCTCGGGGTATCAGGTTGCCGAAAGTAAGGTGATCTAGGATAGATCGACTCAGAAGGCGTTCCATCACCTTGCACGACACGCTGGTGAGGCTTATAGGCCTGTAGCTGCCAGGCGATAGTCGGTCAACAGTTTCGCAGATTGGCGCGACACTCACCTTCGTCAAGCTACCTATCAAATATCAGGTATAAATGATGTGGCAGGGTAGACGACGTTTCAACCAGGATCCTTGGATGGACCTCGCCGGGCCTCAACGCGCTGAATGGGTTGATCTGGTGCAAGAGTTGACGACTGTCATCCACAATGAAGACCAAGTAGGTTAGAGGCTGTTCTTAGTTACGCCTTGACGAGAGTGGATTAGACGAGGACGCTGGGGCTGAATATATTGCCTATGGTTCTACGTAAACCTTGGATACCACTTTTGAGTCACTCGTGCGTTCTCCATTCCTGTTCCTCAAGGAGAACGCGGACGGCTTGTTTCTGCGGTGATATCTTATGTATTTGAACAGTAGGTTTTTGTTTTTTCATCCAAGTGCGTGTTGGTTTTTTGAGACGAAAATCGCGTCCGCCTCGTGAACTTTCTGGATAATGGTCCTATATAACTCTTCCACTGTACTTGGTGTCAGTGTCACTTGTTCAAGAAAGATACGCATTCCTGAGAAGTCTGCACGGCAGAAGTCTTCAATCCACGTTTGAGGTTCCGGACTTCTGTTTCAGCAGCAGATAAAATCAAAGACATAATAGTTGTGCACCATGTTTGAGTCCAAGGCTTCAAACGGGCCTCTGGGGCAATATCCCCTGCTTTCGTGGATTTTGGGAGTGCATTTCGCTTGCAAGGTTTTTGTCACCCAGTGAGAGCCCGGTTTGCATGGATCTTTTAGCTTTGGCGAACGGAGATTTTCAACCATGGTCGAAAATTGCGACCATTGCTGATTGTAGCTGTTTGAGCACCGCCTTTTTGTAACAAGATTTGCTGTTGATCGAAGATTTGGCGCGGTTTGGCCGGAAAAGTGTCTCTGTGAGGCCAAGAGCGTTGGTTAGTGGCTATAGATTGATTCCAGCAATCTGTTGAACCACGTCGAGTTACGCGCAAAACCCCAAAAGCCAATTCTTTCAAATGGAGGTTTATCTACAAATGCGGTACAATAAGTACAATAATAAAATGATAAAGCTTTACAAACCTCAAATCGTGGGACTACGCTGGCTTCTATACACCGGTTTAGGAAATGCTAATTCCTAACGGGTCTCAAAGTCCACGCCGACTCGGAGCCACGTGTTTACAAGCTAGCGAAACCACGTGTGAACTTAAACGACACGTCCGATGACAATGTCAAAGAACAGTTTATGTTCAGTTCAAAAACAACAAGGGTGGTATGGGCACAGACCAAAATAACAAAAAAGGGGGAATTGCGTTGTACAATATAAAGATAGGAGATACGAATCAACGGTGGCATCAAGAAGTAATGCTCTTGGTGGTGCTCCCATAAGGCTTGTTTTCGCGGAGGACTGCAACTTGAGGCCATCCGGCAGTTCTCTAATCTGGCGAATCTAATAGTGCTTGTTTTGCTGCAGTCGCTTTTCATTTGTGTTTGCATGGACACCCGATCCGCCGGCGATCAGCGCGGCTACTGAATGTACGATGGATTTTCCGGTTGGCTGTGGTCACACTTGTGGCTTTGGCTGTCGGGGTTCTGGGCGACGGTTGTGTCTACAAGCAAAGAGGACGCTTTCGACGGAGTGGAGCTGGAGATTGACTTCGTTCCTTGTCCTCACACATCTGACTGAGTCCGGTTCAGGGACTGTGGCTTTGGTGAGAATTTTATGGCTTCACCTTTGTCGTCTGTTGCGGGGATAAGCGTTGATAGCTCTACGTTCTTTGAACGCTGCTTTCACTGGAGGTTTGCCTCTTCCAGAGCATCACAGTCTTTGGTGGACGAGGGGTATATGGTGGTCGAATAAAAGCTGCTGTCCGGAGACGTGGCCGGTTGCGCTGGAGTGTTTTCGGGGGTACAAGATTTTATGATCATAATCGGCTTGGCCATGAGTTTGGGGTCGGCTGGACTATTGTCAAGCTGAAGCATGTTTCGTACCTCTAACCGTGATCTGCTGTGACCCAGCTTTTGCGCCTCTAGAGGGCGATCCTCAGCACAACGCCTGATAATTGGTACGCCTTTCGAATGCCACCAGCCCGCCCCAAGCTCTTCTGTACAGCAGATGGGAAGGGAAGAGTGACTAGAAGCCCTAATGTTCGCTTACTTGACTTGTAGCGTGACCATTCTGCGCGAAGCCATTGACGATCAGGCTTCGTGAGGACACCATTAAAGAACGACTCTTTTAGCTTCGCTGGCGTGATTTACTCGGAGAATGACCGCAACTTATCATTCTGCACTCCCATAATCGCCTGTCTACTAGGGACGCTGTGACGATCATTATAACCGCGTCAGAAAACGTATGACGTTCTTCGCAGCAAGCGCACCTGGTATGGATGGCGCGACGTACTCATTCAGCGAAGAAAGTTCTTTGTCAACTTTCGTCCATGTTGCTGCATTCATTGTGTTTGAATCCTCCGGTTGCTTAGAAAGCGGCTTCAATTTTGGAACGAGTATCCCAATCAAAGCAGAATACTCACATTGATCTTTCGGTTTCTGCGATGGGGACTGAGTACTGTCTTTGGGGGCTCTCTTTTTGGGTGCGGTAGGCATTCCACCCTTAACGTGGAGGCAGCTGGTGCAGACAAACGGGTGAGGAGAGTTAGCTAATCGGCTTATCTGGGCGTTCTGTAAACCCGTGCATTTGAAGTGCCACCTAGCCTTCAGATGTGGCATTGCATACAGCGATTTACGTTCGACGGGCAGCCATTTCGCTCATATCTTTTATAATATATCGCTTGCTGCAGGGGGCAATCGGTATGAATAGATCTCATGGTTAAGACTGGATACAAAAAAGATA